TGGCCATTCGTTTTTTCTTCTTTCATGAAATGCCTGTTTAAATCCTCTGCCTATTCTTAACTGAATTGCTTCTTTCCATGTATTAATTGGTTAATACATTGATAAATTTTCTATTGGTAAACCATCTTTATATTCCTGCAAAGACTCTTATTGGGTCAAGATGTAGTATTAAAACAACAACGGCTGGATTTAATTAGTTGTACTATTTTCTTGTGTGCCCTCAGCTAGTTTTAGAATTAATATACCACTAACCTAATAAAATGAGTGATCATTTTCTATTTTTTGTAGTGCCTTTTTTTTTTTTTTGAGGAGAGAGAGCCTTTGATAACTTTTAAGCTTCCATAATATTTATACAAACACTGGTTTTGAGGTTTTGTGTTTTTCTAGAAACTAGTGCATTCATCCAAGTTTTCAAATTTCCTAGTCATCAGATGGTTTTCCTAGTATTTTATTCCACATTCTGTCTGGCTCATAGAGTTTCCTGCAGTGAGATAGATGAAGTGAGAGCCGGGGCAGCCTGCCCTTGTCAAGCACAATTTCCCCCTCTCTGAGTAGGCTAACTCTAACCCCAGTGATTAGTCTAACATCTGACCCTACCTGACCCGGAGTGTCTGTGATCCTTCCCGGCTCCCCTATAGCTTGCATTCTCTTGCCTTGGGTCAGGCATGCTCCTTCAGGGTATAGAAACTGCCTCTGCTGAGAGCCAGCAGCTGCTTCCTGTATGACAACCGCCTTGAGCTGCATTAGCGTCTCCTGCTGCTGTAATAAATTACCACAGAAGAGGTGACTTAAAACCACAGAAATTCGTAGTCTCACGGATTTGGAGGTGGCAAGTCTGCAATCAAGGTATCAGCACGCCCCATTCCTTTGGGGCCCTTTGAGGTTAGATCTGTTTCACACTTCTCCCCGTCCCCTGGTGCCTGGTGTTGCCAACAATGTCCTTGGCATTCCCTGGTTTCTGGCAGCCTAGCTCCAATCTCTGCTTCTGTCTCCATTGGATCATTTTCTCTGCATGTCTGCCTCTGTTTTCTCTTTTTATAGGGACATAAGTGATTGGGACCTACCCCAATTCAGAGTGAGCTCATTTGAACTAAATACCTCTGAAAAGACCCTATGTATTTCCAAATAAGACCATAATCACAGCTACCAGGGGATAGAATTTGGTATATATTTGGGGCGTGGGGACATAATTCAACCCATGACAAGGGAGCCATCACCAACGTGGTTGCAAAGAACTGGCACTGAACTCCTAATGGACCCTTGTACATTGATTGGTTTGCTTGGAGAAGAAAAGCCTACCTTTCCATTTCCAGTCTTGCAGTGTCCCTCAATTGCCGGCTGGCAACGGGGCAATGTAGTCAGCAGAGCATAGTTCCCTGGGGCAAGGAATGGGGGTTTGCAGCTCAGGGGCAATCAAGTAATAGCTGGCCCAGCCAGGGACCAACGTTCTGTCTGCTTTGATGAGAGCCCTCACTCACCTCCCTACATCTTCTTTTTTAAAAATGTTTTGTATTTTATTGTGATAAGAACACAGACCATGAGATCCATCTCTCAACAGATTTTTTTTTTTTTAATTTGAGATGCAAAGAGACAGACACAGAAAGAGAGAATCCTCTTCTTTCTGGTTCATTCTCCAAATTCCTCTAACAGCCACAGCTGGGTCAGGGGGAAGCCAGGAACCCAATCCAGGTCTCCCAAATGGATGCCAGGGACCCAAGTACTTGGGACTTCACTTGCTGCCTCCCAGGGCTCACATTAGTAAGAAGCTGGAGTTTGGAGCCAGAGCTGAATGTTGAACCCAGGTACTCTGAAGTGGGATCCAGGCATCTTAACCACTAGGCCAAGTTCTGGCCTCTCAGGTTATTTCAATTTTAATTTTTAGAGAAAGAAAGCAGATCTTTAAGTGTACAATAATCTATTATTATTATTGTCTACAGGCACAATGTTGTACTGCCAATCTCTAGAACATACTCATTTTTTAGAACTGAAACTTCCTACCTGTGGGTGGGCAGATTCCATTTTCCTCTATTCCTAGCACCTTTTGATCCTTTGTTTCAATGAGTTTAGCTTGACTATTCCAAATACGTCTAAAACAGGAAGTTTCTCCCAAGTGGAGGAGACACATGGCTAAGTCCTGAGCTATGGGGGAGTCCTGCAGAGCATGAGGGTGGGGGAAGGCTGATTCCAGGCAGAGGAACCAGGATGAGCAAAAGCAGAACATCTGAGAGTCCAGATTGTCCCAGGACCCTGGAAGTCACGTCTTAGCCAGTTTGTGCGAAATACCAGAGTTGGGCAATTTATGGATGATAGCTCTGGAGGCTGGGAAGTTCAAGGTCAAGAAGCTGATAGAGTCAGTGCCTGGAAGGGCTTGCTCCCTGTGGTTGTGTCCACTGCAGGAGGGGAACCCCGTGTCTCCACATAGCAGATGCGATGCAAGGGCTTAAAGGGGGTCAGCTAGTCCCCTGGGTTCACATCTGCTGGCTCACTCTCCAAATGGTCACAGCGATTGGCACTGGGCCAGGCCAAAGCCAGGAGCCTGGTACTCCATCCAGGTCATATAGGTAGCAGGGGCCCAAGCACTTGGGCCATCTTTCACTGCCTTCCCAGGCACATTAGCAGGGAGCTGGATCGGAAGTGGAGCAGCTGGGACTCGAAGGGGCCCTCATACAGGAGGCCAGCATCGCAGGAGGCAGCTTAACCCTCCGCACCACAATGCTGATCCAAAAAGGCCCCACTGTCATGTTGGACATGGGACTACAACACGCGAATGCTGGAGGGACACAAACATTCGAGCCACAACACCCATGCTAAGGTGTTTGCATTCTGAGGGTGAAGTTGGGTAAGAGTAACAGGATCAAATATGCAATGCAGGAGATTTCCTCTATCTCAAGGTGAATGGGGATTTTTCCAGGTTGGAAGGAGAGCCCTTCTGTAAGAGGCGCTTACCTGGAGGAGGCGGATTGGGTAACCTGCACCTCTGAAATGCCTCACGGGAGGCTGGGTTCAACAAGAATCAGCAAATGTCTCCAAATTGGAAATGACACGATCCAATGTGGGGATGGCGGCCGTGTTTAAAACGAAAGCACCATCTTACAGAGAGTGTTCTTTCCTTCTGCGCAACCCATTTCAGGGAGAGACCTGGTTGTGCAAATCAGAAGCCTGGGTGTTATCACGACTCTCCTTTTCTTTTCTTTTTTTAAATTTTTCTTTATTTTTATTTTTGACAGGCAGAGTTAGAGAGTGAGAGAGAGAGAGAGAGAGAGAGAGACAGAGAGAAAGGTCTTTCCATTGGTTCACCCCCCAAATGGCTGCCACTGCCGGAGCACTGCGCCGATCCCAAGCCAGGACCCAGGTGCTTCCTCCTGGTCTCCCATGCAGGTGCAGGGCCTAAGGACCTGGGCCATCCTCCACTGCCTTCCCGGGCCACAGCAGAGAGCTGGCCTGGAAGAGGGGCAACCGGGACAGAACCGGCGCCCCAACCGGGACCAGAACCCGGTGTGCTGGCGCTGCAGGTGGAGGATTAGCCTAGTGAGCCGCAGCACCGAGCATGACTCTCCTTTTCTTCACTTCTGCAGAACCAGTGACTAAACGCTATCCATTCTGCCTCAGAAATATGTTTCCCCCACAGGTCTGTTCTTTCTGCATTCTCAGTGCCATTGCTTGGAAACAGGTGGTCTGCTTGTAGGTACTTGGGCTCCCATAAATTTTTTTTTTAAAGATTTATTTATTTATTTGAAAGGCAGAGAGAGAGAGAGAGAGACAGAGAGAAAGAGAGAGAGAGGGAGGGAGAGAGGAGAGGGATATCAAGAGAGAGGGAGGGAGAGCGAGCGAGAAAAAGAGAGAGATTCTTCCATCTGCTGGTTCACTCCCCAAATGGCTGCAATGGCAAGAGCTGGGCTGATCTGAAGCCAGCAGCTTCTTGTGGGTCTCCCATGTGGGTGTAGGGGCTAAGCACTTGCGCCATGCTTTCCTGGTTATCAGCAGGGAGCTGGATCAGAGTGGAGCAGACGGTGGCTTTACCTGCTACACCACAATGCTGGTCCCCCCGGAATTGGCTCTTAATCATCTTCCCGACATCTTCCAGTTTCTTTTCTCTGCCAGAGTAATTGTTCTGAGATGCAAAGCCAGAGGTGTCACTGGACTGGTTAAAAATCCCGTGCTGACTCTCCATTGCTCTTAAGGCGCTACTTCATCCAAGAATTAAATGAGCCTGGTCACCCACACTTTCTCCAGTCTCATCCCCTACCTCCTCCCCTCTCCCCAGTCCTATGGACATTCAGTTCTTGGAAAGCTGCACCCCTTCCTGCGAACGCCAGGCATATATATTTTTTTTTATGCTAAGTTCTTCGTTTTGCTATCTGGGACATCCAGCAACAAAAAAAATTCATCTTAAATTCAAATTTATCTAATTGTTATTTCCCCCCTCCGGAAACCCTACCCGCAAGAGATATCTGGTAATCTCTAGAAACATTTGTGTGTGTGTGGACACGGGGTTATGGTACTAACTGTGCCCACTGTGGAGAGCCCGCGCATGCTGCTAAACAAACATCTTCCACCCCACAGGACAGTCCCTCCAAGGCGAGGAATCTCCTGGTCCACACGTAGACGGTGCGAAGGCAGAGAAAGCCCGAGTTAGATGGCCATGAACTTTCGGGGCTCCTGGCAGACAGCTCCTGGAACTTCCAGCTTCGTCGGTTTAGAAAGCAGAAGTGGGTTGCTGAAAGGGAGTTGTCCTGGCCTGGAGACCTGACTTTGATCAGGGATGCACGACAGGCAGACGACCTGCTGCAGCAGGTGACGTCACGACGCCGACAAGCTACCGTGTAACGCGCACGCCTAACGGTAACGCGCTCTGCCCACGCGGGCGAAGCGCGCCGGGGACACGGAAACATCCCCCGGGTCCAACCGGGAGCTGACCCGCCGGCTGCTGAGACTGCGCAGGCGTGCAGGCGGACACCGGAAGCCGCCGGCGACTGCGGCGTCCTTCTCCCCTAGCAACGGGTCGTGCAGGAAGAGGGGGCCGGGCCGCGCCCTGTGCGCCTGCGCGGAGGCGCCGCCTGCAGACGTGGAGCAGGGCCCCGGCGGCCGAGCCGGGTTGGCGAGTGGCGGAGTGTGGGAGAGCGGCCGGGATGGGGGTGCCGGTCGCTCCGCGCGGGAGACCCGGGGCTGCCGGCCGGCGCTGGCTGGTGCTGCTGTCGCCCCTGCTGCTGGTGGCCATGTTGGCGCGGCCGGCGGCCGCCCTGGTGGAGGGGCTCTACTGCGGCACGCGGGACTGCTACGAGGTGCTGGGCGTGAGCCGCTCGGCCAGCAAGGCGGAGATCGCGCGGGCCTACCGCCAGCTGGCCCGGCGCTACCACCCCGACCGCTACCGGCCCGAGCCCGGCGACGAGGGCCTGGGGCGGACGCCGCAGAGCGCAGAGGCGGCTTTCCTGCTGGTGGCCACCGCCTACGAGACTCTCAAGGTGAGGCCCGCGGGCGCGCACGGGCTGCGGGGTCCCCTCGCGGGGAGCGCGTGGCGCGGCGCCTGCGGCCACCGGCGCCCCTGGCGCGCGCAGCTGGGCCCACGGTGTCCCCGGCGCGCAGCGCGGCCGCCGCCTCGACCTTGGGGATCCTCAGCGTTCCCCCACGTGGCCGCGTGCGAGGGCCGAGCGGGCCCGCCGAGCGCGAGGGGCAGGAGCCCCCTCGGGCCTCGTTGGTGACCGTCGTTGTTGTACAAAGCTCTGGATGTGTTGGGGCTTCGTGAAAACCTTCTAAGAACTTGGCAGTTCACGCTCAGAAAGCGGGCTCCTGATTCCCGGGACCTGGGCTAGGACTCGAACGTTGAACGACACCCATTGCGCCAATGGGATAGGACAGAAATTTGGTTTCTGGGGACGGTATTAGTGATGACGTTTAGCTTGGGTTTCAGGAGGCAGACCAACACTAGGAACGGCGAGCTGCCAGTCCGAGGCTCTTGGCTCTGACCCTCTGATTGACCTTGTATAAGGATTTCTTAAGTTGGAGTAGCTGTTCCCTCATAAGCAGAATTAAGCACCTGATAGCTCTCACAGAGTTATTAAATGGGGAATAAAACTCCTCGACTGGGACCCGGGAATAACGGGCTTAATAACTTGGGGTGCAGGACTCTGAGAATTTCTGGTAGGAAATATTTTGTAAATATGTTTAGTCATTCGACAAAAGGTTTCGTGTCCTATGGGGATACAGAGATTTAGCCTGATGCTCTTTTTGTTATTGTTACTATAAACATCAACCCGTATAAAAAAAAAAAAGTCAGCAGGTGTATTACTGTTTCAGGGGCCCTAGGCATGCTAGATATTTCTCAGTCTTTTATATTTCCAGGCCAAAGGAATAAAACTGCCCAGACTGTTGCTACGTGGTCTGCTCTTCATGATTGCACTTTGTGTGCGTGGACTGTAATTTACCCCGGGGGTCGTTTTCTGCAGATTAACTTTCTCCAGTTGAAAGTAGTGAGTCGCCAGATTCTCCCGTGATGCTCTCCAGAGCGGAGTGGATATCTTGGAGTCGTAAACTGGGCCTGTTTCAGTCACTGCAGTCTGCGTAGCCTGAGTGGGACTGTCATTTTTACTGGCAGGTAACCGAGGTGCAGATGGGGAGCTGGGGAGGTGCTCAGGCCAGAGGGGTTTAGGGTAAAGAGCCATCAAGGAAAGACATCCGAAAAGTGGGGCGGAAGTCTCTCCAGCCGGGGCAGCTGAACGGGTGAAGCCCCAACTTGAGGTTTTCGCCGAGGGAAGACAGCGGTCGGGAAGCCAGCTGGGAGCTGGTGGTTCCGAAGGCGGCTCTGGGCGGATTGGGGAACTTCCTGGAGAGAGGGCAGCAGAAGCGCTGGCGCCGTAGCCTTGGGCTGGGTCTTGTGGGCCTGGATAGCGGTGGGTTTGGTGTTGAGACTGATGAGAATATTGGTCAGAACTGTGAAAGCAAATGCCAACATTTTCTGGAGGATCTGCAAGGTTGCCTCTGACGGTTCCTATACCTTGGGTGTAGCCCTGCTCTATCAGTTAAGCAGAAGGTAGGTAAGAGAAGCTGTGCACTCAAGGATAAAGACGTGCCGGGCAGTTAGAGACTGGTGTGCCCGGAGGAGGTGGCACTTGTACTCTTGGCTCGGAAAGGTGTTGTAACTGGGAATACCTCTGCCTGGGGCCTAGAAACGGGCTGTGCTGAAGGGGGGGGGGGGCTCCCATGCCCCCCACAGGAGAATGGGAAGCACCTGTGAGAGGGAGATGAACGCCTGGGGGTAGATTGCACCCAGCAGACGTGTGTGAAAACCCCCACTGAAGCGTCACACCGGGTGGGCTTGGATGCCACTCCTCCCAGCAGAGCTCTTCCAGGGACTGCTCACCTCACTGCAGCTGGCGTCCCTTGGAGTAAGGACAAGGAGTTGACGTGTGTGTCGGGGAGAGGCTATTGAAAACGGACAGAGTGGTCTCCTGTTACTGCTGTTGCGCTGGGGAATGGTGCGGATGTTGGCAGAGAAATGCTGTTTCCGGGTAATGCCAAGATTTCGTGAACTGGGGTCATCCTGTGGGCCTTCCTAGCTGCCCCCTGGAGGTGATGGGGACGGAACCGCTGTTTTGCTTGGATTGTTTCCTGGGGCTGGGAGCACGTCTGATGGAGTAATGGGAGAAACTGAGTTCCAGTGGCTTCGGAAGCCAGTCTCTGACCATTGACAATGAATACATCGCTAGGATGGGAACTGTCTTTGTCCAAGACGTGGGTGGATGGATGACTGAGGTTGTTTTGGTCAAATACGTGCCCTTTGGAGAGAGAGTGTTTTTTAGATGGAGAACATTGAAAAGTAAGAATACTGATGTGATTTAAATATACTTAGCAGGATGAAAAAGGTATGACACTTGGTCGTTCACTGTTTTAGCAACAAAAGATTCTGCCTGTGCGTGGAGAGATTGGGGAACACCGGAAGAGGGAGTCCTGCTTAGCTCGCATTCCCAAATGATTTACAATTCCAGGTGTCAGCAAGACGTCCAGCCACGATGATGCCACACACTGCTTTCAAGTCGATACAGTGCGATCGTATTTAGTGTGTTTGACTATTTGAGGATTCAGGAGTTCATGGACTTTGGACGTGAAGTAAAGGCACTCACTCAGTGTCAACATTGGATTTCATGAGGTGGAACAGTCCAGTCCCTCTTGCTTTTATGTGGCTTATAGCACTTATCACACTGCACCATAAACCCCGAGCAGCCCTTCCCCTCGCCACTACACTATGCTCCTTGGTTTCCGTGTGTATATCCATGGCATCTAGCACAGTGTCTGGCACATCAGGTCATGACCGTTAAAACTTGTATCGAGGGGTGGCCACTGTGTTCCAGAGGTGAAGCCGCCACTGCCCAGCACTTTGCTTCACATGCAGCTCTGCTGAGGGCATTCTGGAAGGCAACAGACGATGGTGCTGGTGCTCGTGCCCTTGCCACCCAGGGGGGAGACTTGGATGGGGTTCCAGGCACCTGGCTTCCATCTGCCCCAGGTTCGGCTGTTGTGGGCATTTGAGGAATGAACCAGCAGATGGAAGATCTTACTTTGTCTCTGTCTCTCCCTCTCTTCTGTCACTCTGCCTTTCAAGTAGATGGAAATAAATAAACTTTCTAAAAACCTCATATCTGGAGAGTGATTCAGATAGGTTGGAAATTGAAAGTGGACTTTCTGGCATCTTGACAATGTTGTACGCAGCCTGCTTTGCTATTTCACCCAAATGAATTTTAAAGAGCAGTATAGATAAGTAAATTGGATGGTTATAAATGAAAAATTCCTGCATGAGAGAAAAATTCACTTTTAATTTTTAAGTGAGATAGTTTTTAAGTGAGTAATTCTTTTGGATGTAAGTAAGTCAGATAAAATGGATGTCATATGAGGAATGGCATAGAAATAAGCAGATGTGGGCACAGTTAGCAAGGATGCACTTAGAAAAACCCTGCTTGGTAGAAAATGGGAAAGTGGTAGATTGTAACAGCATTTTGTAAGATCCCAAGAGGATGGCATAGAACAGTGCCTGGCAATGCTGCTGGCCTGAAGCTGACAGATCGGAGGAAGTGCAGAGGGAGCCTCCTTACTCAGGCTTGTCTTGGAAGGGAACAAACAGCGTGAGGACACTTCAGTTTCTTTCCGCTAGTCTGAGTGAGACGGCAGGGCAGTAGCACTTGGGAAGAATTTGTCAAAAAAGGGGAGGCCCTGTTATGTTACTGTTTATTGTTCATTTCTTAGGATAGTCTCTTACTCAATCCTTTGTCCAAACAACTAGTACTGGCATAGGTGCTGGGCATGAGACCATGAAAGGGCGCAGTTCCGGACTTTAAGAATCAGAGAGATAACTTTTGTTGATCGTCATTTACTTAAGTTACATAATAAAAGCACAGGCAGACTGTATGGCAGCACCAGGAGGAGGCAGCGATTGCTTTGTGGAGGATTACGGAAGAACGTTTCTCTGAGCTGGAACACAGTTACCCCGATCGACAGGGACGGGATGCTTCCAGGAGAGGGAAAGCCTGATTAACAGAAACATGAAGCCATAAATATGCAAAGCTCATTATCGGAATGAGACTCACTTTGGTGAGAAATTAGAGCAATGAGTATTTTGTCCACCAAGAATCACTTTTATTACATTTCCCTCCGGGCCTCTTTGGGGGAAGAATTAAATACCAGTGTTGGTATTACCAGTCTTCTTTTTCAGTATCATCCAGACTTTAATCAATCATTCATAATCATTGGGCACAGCCAGCTCTCCATATCTGGATTGGATTCAACCAGCCACGAAAGGGAAATATTTTTTAAAAAATTGCATATGTGCTGAAGGTATACAGACTTTTTGTCACTATTCCCTAAGCAGTATAAGATTACATCTGTTTGTATAGAATTTCATTGCATAGGTATTACAAGTAATCTAAAGATGAGTTGAGTATACAGGAGAATGTACATATGTTTTATGCAAATACCATGCCATTGTATCTAAGGGGCTTGAGCATCCGTTTATTTTGGTATTTGCAGGGAGATCTTGGAGCTCATCTCCCCAAGATACCGAGGGACGACTGCATTCACAGAAGTATTATACAGCTCTGTACGTTTGTAGTTACGAGGCTGATAACCACATCAAGTACACTTACCAGGGAGGGCAGGTAGTTTTCTCTGCCCATGCTCACCTGTTGTAAGCATTTGACGACTTCTCTGGGTTTGGTGGGAGAGATTGACATGTTGATGGTGATTTCTGCCCTGGGCCCAGCAGAACGTGTAGCCCGTGTGCCACATTGCCTGTTCCGGCTGTGAGATCCTAAGTGCTGTTTATTTCCTACCGAGTCCCTAATTTCAGCTGTTACTCCCTAGTTATGGCTGAGGTTGATTATATACTAGATATACTTAATTTCCATGCTGTGACTCCTTGATACATGACATCATCAACAACCAATCAGAGCTCTTGAGCAGCCTGAAAACCACTGAG